GTTTTATTTTGAAGTATTATCTGTAAAATAGATGAACTTAAGGCATCATGCAAACATAATGTGATATACATATTAAATTTGAGTTCTAAGTATTTTTCTGATGTGCGCTGTTACTACATATTCAATGTATGTCCCATTTCCATCCAACCAATRTCTTTACTAGCTGCCAGCATAAAATCTATACTTCTTTTCTATTCAAGTCTGTCTGCTGATTCATTCACTTTCTCCATATTCTTTTTAAATAATAAAACCACTATTTTGAAGTGCTCAGGTTTRTTCTCTCAAGGAGAGAGATAGAAAAGGTGCCAAGTATACAGATGGGTAGTTATTATGTTTTTCCAGAAAAACCCCAACAAAAACAAACTAAAACAATGACAACAACAAAAATCCAAACAAACTAACCCCTCCAATTCTAGTTGTAGTAGGTATTCTTTTTTYACTCTATAAATCAAAAATTCCCATTGATGTGTTATTTTTTGCTCATRCCTCATTCAAAAAGTCAAGAACTTTCAAAGCCTTCTTACTGTGAACAAACCTTATTGTTTGTAAAGTGTTCCTGTTAGGGCTTCAGTTTCTTTGTCTTCATTTCATATGTATTTTGCACTTCAAGAAGCAACTTAAACACTTTTTAATGTCTTCTCTAACTGAAAGCATTCACTAGAATATTTCTGTAGCTTTTTACATTGTTGCTCATTAATAATTTTTAACAGTCTTATGATATATGTCTTTCCTGCAGTCATTGAGGACCACAGATGCTCTTCATCTGTTTTTATAACATTTGTTCATGAACAAGTGAGATCTTTCATCCAAGCAAAACGCATTTGCTTCAGCCTGTCTCATTCTGCATTATAYGTTAAGTTTGAGGGCTATGTGGCAAGTCTGCGAGGTGCATTTATGATATAAGTGTGGCTTCTCAAAACTTACCCAAATTGCTGCTGGTACTAGAAGCAGTGTAGATGCAGAAAACACRGAGTTCTGTCAGAGCTCCTGGGGTGTTGACTCAGCTTCTCAGTCAGGGCAGCTGCAGTGCTTAATCAGGAAAATTTAACTTTATTCTCAGGATCCAAAAATGAATTCAACTTTCCACAGAAAGGTAGTCTCTCTGGAGAATTTCAGAGATCTTAAAAAAAATCAGCCTGTTTGAAAGAGCAGCRGGAACTAAACTGCTATCAAAACAACTACTGCTTATAGATATTCAGAAAATTACAACCCTTAGGAACAGTAATTCTATGCTGCAGCCTTTGGAGGGCTCTCTTGGATCTGCTGCCTGCTGCTGGAAGTCCCTGGACATTCCTTGCTTTCTGTAAAGAACTAACACTGACTTTCAGTAACACCTGAAAACCCCATGTGTGGATTTCAGCTGTGTTGTTTTAGGACTGTACAAATACATACTGATACTGTTGCAGGTCGAGTATCTTAATTAAGGTAATTGCCCTGTGAATATTAAATATTTATATACATGTGAGCAAGACATCTGCTTTTGCTTCCTTTCTTTGGGGAAGTTTCTTGGGTGTTCCAGTGTTCGATAATCAAGATATTCTTCATTCAGTCAGAAGCTTTTGGCTGAAGCGCCATGAGTTAGGAAGTGGTTTGCATGTGTGCGGTCTCGCTTCTCACAGGTTCCTCCTTGTTTTTCACAAGCTAATTGAATTTGGCATCATGACATATACCTAAGAAATTCACACCAAAACCACTCTATATAAAAGGCCTGATACAAAAGGCTAATTAGGGATAAAAGGCTAATTAATTAGGGATTGCTAAGTATCCTATAAAAACAACTCCAGACATGAACTATTAATAGCTAGAAGCAGCTTTGTAAATTGCGTACCTACTTTATTTTCCTGTCTGCTGATCAACTTAGTCTGCTGGAAGTAAACCAGAAGTCTGCTAGCTCTTCTGATCACTCAAACCTCAGCTTTTGGTTTGCAAATTCTACAGCTTCCTGTTGGCTTTCTGCTTGTTCTGCTGGAAGCATCAAGGATCATTAGTGGGCAGGGAGCAGCTAGAGCAGCCACAGAGAGAACTAGAGAAAAGTATTTCCTTTGAGAGGCAGAGGTGTGACATTGCTGTATGCGTGGGATAAGTCCATAAATATTAAGAGTAAAATGCCTSTGGAAGAATTTCACATTTCTTTTTTCTACAGGTGTAGCCTTGTCTTAACTGAATTAATTATTTTCATAAGAGACTGTGGTGTTTTATATGGTCATTAATAACTGATACTGTCATTGCTGTGGTTTTTGGCTGCTTTATTTCCTCTGTGAGTCTAATAACAGTCAGGAATGAAGGGGTTCATCCCACATAATTCCACTCACTCCAACAAATTTTAACCAATAAATTTTAACCAATAAATTTTAACCAATAAATTTTAAACTGATCATCACCTCCCGTCTATAGGAGTGGAGCAAGTAAGGTGGTAATTTACTTGTAAGTTAGAATAAGGTGAATGCCTTACCATGAAGAATAGTGACTTCCTTTTTGGTTTAGAAAATAAATTTAAATTGGACAGATGCCATTTATATAGGTACAATTTAGATGGGGTCATTCTTTTAATGCTTCCAGACTTTGCCTGTCAGGCTCAGCATGAATGGAAGGAGACCTTTGTGCCACGGGCCAAACCTGGCATGCACAAACAAGTTTGCTGATAAACTGATTTCACAGGAGCTGTCCTTTCTCTTGTTTTCAGCATTACAACCATGTRTAGCTTCTGGAGTTGGAGCTACTGTCCTCAGGCAAAGGCACAATGTAATCACAAGGACTGGGTGCATGTAAGAAGATAAASTGACTACTGTAGTATAAAGTCAGCTATAACAGAGAGCTGATATTCAAATATTCTCAGTCAGAGGAATAGTAGGGCATTCTCATGTGATATTTTCTCTTTTGAGTTTTTGTATGTTTGTAAGAGTGTAATGAATTTTTCACATGTAGCAAGGATTATAAGCACCAGAGCTGGAAGAAAAGCTATCACTTACCTCTAATCTCTAAATTTCATAAGAAAAATGATCATATGTTCATAAGGAACATACTKTTACTTGTATACTGAGTGGAACATTCCCTACATTAATTAGTATTAAATTAATTAGTAGGATCTGCCATACCACAAAACATATTATTTCTTAATTTAAAGGGTGCAGCATTGCTGGATTGCTSCAGTCATATTGTAATTCCAGAAATAAAGCTGTGTTTCCAACAGATTCCTGGGCAGTGTAGTATTTTCAGTAGCACAGCTTTTGCCTGGGCAGCTTTTGTGTTCCTGCCAAATGATGSCATCGGACATTTTAATTGCTGGCTCTTCAGCCTCATAATGGCAATCAGTTTTTCCCAAAGGATCAAGTTTCCATGTGGCATGTGTGTGCATGGTAGGMACCTATTGTAAATATTTGATTGCATTAATGAAGAGGGAGTACTAAGTATAAGACATTTTTTTCTCAGTGGACTTGTTCAATCAAGCTTTGTAGCCTGAATACTGTCACAGCCAAATGGTGAAACAAACATGCCCCCAAACCTGAAAGATATTGGAAATTGTATCACAAATTACTGCTTTTACAAATTTCTAATTGGTAACAGTTATAAAAATGATTTTGCAATAGTCTGTACTAAAATCAGATTGATATTAAATGAAGTAATTATGAAATCACATGTTCAAARGCCATATTTAGCTTTATCACTAAGAGATAAATACATCTGCTGTTCTATAACATGAGTCTTAATAGT